CCGAAGTCCGCCTCCCGGTCGCTCAAGTCCGATTCAGCTAAGCGGCAGCTGATACAGCGTCCAGTTCCGTTCTCGCCGCCGTTCATCGGCCCTTTGAGCCTGCTAAACCGTACTCAAGCGCACTCACATTGTCCTTTGTGTAGCAAAATCAAGATGTTGGTTCTCCAGTCCGGCTCAAAATATGAATGTGTTGAGGAAAAATCTGTGAGATAGCGGCAAAAGCAACATATGCGGGAGATGAGAGCAGTGAAGCAGTATCGGGTTGGCGTGAATGAGACGCGGGCGGTGCGACTCAATTTAGCAGTGTATCATACAAGTATGCAGAGAGCCCGAGAGAAAACAATGAAAATGGAGACGAGAAGGCGGCTGCAGCGGCCACGAACGGCGAACGTAGAAGCGGGGAGGGCGGTCCCGATAGTGCAGGCAAAATGGCGGCCTATGGAGCGAGCGCCGAGAGCGGCTGGTATGCCGATCGCCGTTGTCGGGAAACAGGTTCCCGCGGTGTCGTCGACGCGAAAGTACGGCTGAGAGCTCTGTCGTGTTGTACGTATAGGGGCGCCTCGCTTCCACTGCTGGTAATCTCAGGGCGCGACCGGCGTTCGACCGGTGCTGGGAGCACCTCTTGGACTGAATGCCTTGAGGTCGAAGAGGCCCGGAGCGTGGCCCTGGGCATGCGCTCGACAGAAGGTAAGACCTTCGGCTTGGCGGATCTGGACTGGCTCGTCTGAGACTTGTGTGACTGTCCAGACTGATTGGCGTGCGGCGGTAAAGGTTGGGTGGGGCGCGGGGCAGCGCATGCGACGGGCGTACAAGTGCCGGTCCGGTCGCGGCGTGAGAGATTCCAGCGTCTCCTTCCCATCTTCCCGCCCTTCTCCTCCTCTCCTCTCTTACTATTCTCCTTGTCCGTGTCCCCCGCGGTCTTATTCAAGGTTAGTAGGGACGTCTAGGCCGAAAAATTGGGCGCTGACTTGCCCGAAGACGTGCCGGTGGTCGGCGGCGGGTGTGTCTTTCACATGTCAAGCGGGGTTAATCTCGGTGTCGAGGCCAAGCTAATACACTGTCCAGGGACTGCCCTGCGTATACAGAAAGAGAGGGGTTGAGTTGGAATGTCTGTGAGTTGTGGGTGAAGTGGCGGATGTTCGGTGGTGGTGGTGGTGGTGGTAGCGAATGAAAACCTGAGCGCCCGTGCGGCACGCGTCTTGTACTGGTTTTCCGCGCCCCGGCCAAGTAGAGTACACCGTAGTTATCCTTTCCGAATGAAAATTGGCACTTACTAGTAGTCGGGTCTATCCCGCTCGTTCAGAAATTGGATGGGCACGCGCGAAAGATAGCAACAAAATGATATGGAGGCTATGCAAGTCTTACTCGACTACTATGTAAGCGTGCCTGAGGGGGGACGGTTTGACGTGGAAATTTCTGCACTTGTCGAGGATTTCGTCTTTGGTCCGGGTAGGGTCCTATTCGCGTTTGGTCAGGCGAGGGAAGAGGGAGAGGCTGCGGCGAATGCGCTCGAGTGGAGGATGGAGATGATGCTCTCCTACTGAGAACCGTGGCGATCGCGCTGCATAAGGGAAATGTTGTGAGCATTGCTCAGGTGTTCGGCGGGGAAAGGGGCGCGCCGTTTGATTTAAGCGAAATGCGCGGGAAAATCGTCTTCAAAGACACCGTCCAATCCATTCTCCGGGAAGCTGAAAACGAGTCGTACCTGTCCGTCTCGCTACTCTCCGAGAAAGCATTAGTAATGTGTACCAAGAGTAAACAGACGGAGAAGAGAAGCGAAGGCGAGAGCGCACCTTCCGCACCTACGCCGTCGCCCTCGCCGAACTGGTTCACTGGCGCAGCGCTAAACTGTTCGGTTACCCCGTGTCGCTGAGATGATGGAGCTTGAGGATACAGTCCTTGATGACGTGTTTGAGGTCCGTGGCGCGTTGTCGAAGGATACGAAAGACGCATTCGGGGCGTCCGCGGCATCGCGCTTGAGCCGTGGCGCGCGGGAGTCCGGATACGAGGTCGAGCGTCGGAGTTTTCGGGGTCACGGAGGCGCCGATCGGGCTACATAAGCGTGTCCGGGTTGGATCTGCTCGTGGCGCTGCAGTGCATGGTCGTTTGCAGGTATTCTTCATTGCGGGTGGTGAGGCAGTAAGTCGATCTCGTTTAAACCAGTTGCGAGCTTTTGGAGTACGACACGTTGCAGGCGAATAGAGTGAACGCAGCGAGCGACGGGGTGCGTCTCGGGGAAGTAGAAGCGGTCGTGAACGCTGAGCGTCTTACTGAACTACGTTCTTGTGATTGTGGATCTTCTTCAGCGCGTCGAAGAGGTCGTTCGGAGTACTCTCCGAGGCCTTCGGGGCTCGAGCGGGGTAGATGAAGCCACGAGCGCACGAGTGACGTTCACGACTCTGCGGGAAGTGGCCTTGCGGGCAGGGTTCTGACGACCGGGTAGAGATAGGTTGGCTATGACGACCAGGGGAACACGGCATGTATCTTGGATGCATCGTTGCGAGCTCGACGCCGAACACTACCCCGGCATTCTCCTCGCCCTCCAACACCTCCTCTCCCTCGGACGGTACGCCCTCGCCGTAGTCTCGCCCTCCACCCTCTTTCGCGTCATCGCCATCGTCGACCGCGCTGACCTCCGGCCCTTGTTCTCTCCAAACGCATCTACAGCGCCATCGCCTCCTTCCTTACGACACCCACGTTCAAACCCCACCGCGCAGTAAACTTCCACGCTCGCCGCGATCTCGGGTTCGAAGTGCGCCAGGCTGTTGCGGTAGAGGATAGTAAGAGTGGTGGGATTGCTGCTGTGTGGGCGGGGATTAAGTTGGTTCGGTATGCGGGCGTTTATGAGGAGGATAAAGAGAGGAAGGAGACGCTAGGCGGAGCCGAGTCTGTGATTGTGCTTGAGGTGTGGGAGGGGTTTGTGGGGGTGGAGGATGGTTGAGTAGAGCAACGCCTGATGCTTGAGGTCTGGATCGAGTTGAATGCCAGACTTTCCACGAGTCTTATCGGGCGGCCCGAGCAGAGGCTCCCACGCGCACCGCGCGCGCGCCCAAGACCTCACCGCTCTGTCGCCCGATGGCCTCCGCTGAGCCCTTTGTTCCCTCCGCTGAGGGAAGAGGAAAATTCTTACACCGAGTGGTTTGGTGCGGCGGTGCCTGCGATAGTGTTTGCCGAGGGGTCTTGTCATGGACATCGCAAATCACTGGCGAAGGGTATAAAGACGAGCAGCTCGTTGAGCCTACCCAATCTCGTCTGCTCCCTCGCCAGGTCAGTACTTGCTCCTCCATTGACTCCGCTGAGTATGAAGCTGACGACGCTCGTCTGCTCCCTCGTCAGGATCTTCCTCGCACCCTCTGCAGTCACTTTGGGTCTCCCTGCCCTCCCTGTCCCTGTCTAGTTTCTCGTCTCGTCTTGTTCTGTCCTCTCTCGTCTCGCCTCATAGTTTTTCATTATTGACACATACGGCCTGTCTCTCCCTGCGCATTGTCTCGGGCTACTTTATCATCTCGAACCTTATGTATAGTACATTTGGGCTTGCCTCCGTCCGCGGACGTCGGCCGAGCGGTAATCCCGGCGTACTCCCACTGTGTCGCGAACCCCGCCGTACACGCGAACCAGCCCAATTAGATTTGGTGTGGGAGATCGGCGCGTGTGAGGAAGCATGACTTTTGATAACTCATGCGGGACGCCTTTGAGATAGTATCCGGGATAAACTGGATCAACCTCGAGTACAGTATGTGTGGCGAAGTATACAACCTCGGCGCGGGAGATCTGGACAATCTTACACTGATAGGCGCTATGCATGGGTCCTTGGTAGAACAGTTGCAACGTCATGGCGTTTCTGCTCTTCTCGGGTTCGATTCCCGGGAACCCTGTGCGGGATGTACTTATGTGTTTTCTCCATTTTGACTCACTGTGATTTTCAATCTCTTGTGGCCAGATCGACTCAGTATTGGGTGAAAATTCGCGATATGCATGCAGCGGTTCATTCGGCGATTACAATATAGCGATTTCACCGCAAGATGTCCCCAGGCATCAAGAGGAATCTTTGGAGGTCATAAACTTCAATACAGCGGCTGGCATGAGGTCGAGTGGTCCATCGCTGTCGACCAAATGCGGTTATTCGTCTTCGAACTCCATCCCAAATAAAACAGTCAGCACCGTCCGCCGCATCAGACCCATCCGCTGGTGCCTTGACGCTCTCGTACCACCTCCCTCAAGATCCATCACACCATCGCCACGCTGTGTAGCAAGGTCATCGTCGGATAGACGGGCGGCAGCCGGTCCTGCGGCGGGTGCTCGCGAAAGCATGGCGAATGATTGGTGGTGCACAACCCTCGCCTCCATAACGTGCCGCGTGCGATCGGTCCTTGTCCTCATGCACGAGTCTATCTGCGCTCTACCGATATAGCGACTGAGACCACTGCTTTCCTTGCATTCATGGCCTTACCCGTGCACTGATGGCGCTTCAAGCGCGTTTGGGTGCCTAGAGGTCTCGACTTCAAACGAGAGCTCGTTCGTTGCGTCCACGTTCGTGACAGGATGCGTGTCAGAAGAGGACTCCACCTGATGGGGGACCGAGAATAGAATCGGATGTGGACGTGGACCAGCCGGCTAATCAAGTAAGCAGAAGATCAACTCGGCCTGTGAAGGTATGAAGACTTACCTACATCATTTCTTGCACCGCCGCGCAGGCAATAGTGGACTTCGATCGTTTCTGCTTCCGATAGGTCCTGAGAGCGCGACAGCGGTCGAGAAAGTAGGCTATTTGGCGAGTAAGCGCAGTGCCGGTGCTATAACTCATCAGCGACCCAGGTCGTCGTAGTACCGAGGGGAACACCTGTAATAGGATATCAGTAAGGGAAAGCACTGAAAGGAGAAAACCGTACGTACGTAGCAGAGTGTCCTTGCATGGCAGGTGGATCGCAGAAATGTTACAGTCTGGGCGTCGTCACTGCGAGCGGGTCATCGAAGGAGCTTCATATCGCCCGCGTTGGAACAGCCAGAGTAAGAGCCATAAAGGGAGGTATAGCTCGATATCAAGTAACACTCTTGCGCCGTACACCCTAGAGTGCCCGAGCATAGTAATGGCATAGATGAGCGAGAGCGGAGCTGGCAGGAGGTCTCTTGCCCAGGAGGCTGCATAGTCGACCGACGCGCGTGAGCACTGAGTAGCCGGGCTGTTGAACTCGAGCCTAATACGAACAGAGAAGGGAGAAGAGTACAACCAGCAGAGTACGTATAGCGGCGCGTACACGGGGACGGGGATTACCCGGGCGTACTTCGTGCACCGGGGACCAAAGGAGTAGGGCAAGGGGATGGGGATGAGGGGCGGCAGAAGGGACGATTCGGAGTAGCGAGAGTCTTTCAGGCGCCCTGAGACGAGAAGTAACAAGCTAAGAGTAAATTTCACTGAATTCGCGCGTACACGGAACTCGACGGACAATATACATAATTGACAGTGACAGAGGGGAATGGGGTGGAAGAACTACGCGAGCTATGTGTGTGAGGGGCTCGGCGCACCCCCGGAAGCTTACGTTACTGTTATACGCAAGCACGTATCCAATCGAGATTGCGGGTCCGCAGTTTGACATCTTACGGTAGACGCGCGAGACGCGCTAGGACCAAGTCGCGGCGTCCGCCCCGCTCCACACCACTGACTGCACCATCATGCGGGCCCGTCAAAGCACTCTGCCGACGAGTCACCGGAGGTAGGCCATGCGAAGAGTAATCCGTATAATCACCGTCGACCAGTTTCCAAGCCACCTGCCAAGGACAAGAAGGTTCCGACCGTCGATGGCTGCGAGGAGGGGCACGACGACGACGACGGGGAAGACAAGCACGAAGGCAAGGAGCTCCCCGACTTCGACGAGGACGCTGTCGACGAGGCCAAGCACAAACAAGCACAAATTGGCGTCTAAAACAAAGGTTACTCTCGCTCTACCATCCATGTAGCGACACGTACTCACTCGAGATACGACAGCGAGCACAGCTTCACCGTGATCTCGTCGGACACAGACGACGAGCTTTCCAAGGAGCCGTCAAACAAGATGCTGGCCAAGGCACGCGTAAATACTCGCCGTGTTTCGTCGAGCATCTTGACACTCATGAGCCTTCGCAACGGACAAGAAGAGCGTAAACGAAATACTTAGCTTATCACGGTTTTCTGCTCACCATCCGTAGAGCAAGGCCCGCCAGTCCCTCCTGAACGAGTACACGAACGTGAACATTGTGGGCTCGTATTTCAACCACACGTACGTTCTGGTCGGGTACACGCGACAAGGTGACCTCCCGCTGCAGTACCGCGCTACCCAGGGACTGCCCGCGCTACCCAGGGACTACCCGAAGGACGTATAACGCACCTGCGTACGGCGTACGGGAAGAGGAGACGAGAGGACCATGCGCTAGGTGGGGTGGGTGGCTGGAGGACGCAAGGCACGTGGGAAGCGCGGGCCGGCTTACGACTTCGCGACTTCACAGGACTTCACACTTGCTTTCCGCCGCCTTCACCTTTCCTTCCCCTCTCCCTCCCTCCACCCTCCCGCCTCTTCCCGTGCGCGGAGGACAGGCGTCCTGTAAGCCCCTCGGGTGATGACCAGGTTTTCTACTTGCAAAGTTCGTGTCAGGCATCGGACCACCGGCGACTGCCGCAGCTCGTCGTGATCCGATCAGTCTCTGCCCTCGACTCTCTCACATACTTATGTATCAGCAGCATGAAGCTAAACAGCGAGTGGCTCTGTACTTCCTTCAAGATTTCTGGTGGTAGCGACGAAACTTTGTGCGGGCTCGGCTGACGATGGCAGGGTCGATGGTACGTGTCGCTTCTATCTCGCATGCGCATACCGCCCTAATTGGTCCCATCAAGCTCGAGTACGCTAGTCAGGACTTCGAGCAGGGCTTGCGCGAGCCCGGAAAGGTCAAGGAGGACCTTCTAGCCGACATCTACGACGAACATGTAGTGAACATTCTGCGGGTGAAAGCTCCGGGGCGCTTTGACGGGTCCTGTACTCGAGGCGAAGTACGTTCTCTCTCCTCTTCCTGGAACTGGGACGTACTGGAGACAAGCTACAGCAGTTGGAAAGCCCCGAAGTCCGAAAAGGACGGCCGCGAAGTGCCCGTTATGGAGGAATCGAAGGATGACATGTTGGACTACTACATGCGGCAGTAAGGCGCTGTGTAGATTTAGTCCCTCGGTCCAATAGGTATGTTCGCGCGCCCTTGCCGTAGACGCTCGACTAACACTCTTACAGTTTCCGTTCATGATCTTCGGTCTTCAACTCCATTCTCCCATCGTATCGAGCGCCCAGCCCCTCTACCCTCGCATCGTTCACCCGCTTCATATCCTATCTCCGGCGCGCTCATCCGCGTCTGTTTCCGTTTCATCCTCCATCCTTGTCTCGTAATTCCGCCTCCTCAGTGGCACTAATACGCGCTCCTTCGCTACGTATCCCGAATTATACCTACTGATTCCCTCCTCGTCGCTTCCATCCCGTCTAATGCCTCACGACCTGCGACGCCAGATTTTCACGACGAATATAGTTTCTGCATCTTTCTCATCCCGATGAGGACTGTGTGAGCTTAGCTGCGGAAAATTCGTAGTAATGTTTGTCTCAAACATTTCTCACACGTCGTTAGACGCCGGTTTCAACCAATCTCTCCATTCTTCATTCAGGCCCATACTTAATACCTAAGGGTGCACAGTCCAAGAGGGTAGCGGTAAAGTTAAATTGGAGAATGAGGTGTATCTAGAGCCAGACCTTTCGGATTCCGGTGTGTTATTGAGTATGTCGGTCTTGTGAAGCATGCAAACCTCATCAAAGTTCGCCCGACTAGGCGATACGTCGTTCGTGGACACGTAGTCACCGTAGGTGACCAGAAGTTCGATGGTCACCATCTCCACACGGAACTTCGTGCTAAAAATGACTACCTACCAGGGATCAGTCCGTGAATGATCCATTGGTGCGGTTAGAACATACATTCTCGACATACTTCCACCTGGCAGGGCATTCCTTAGTCACAGGGTCGATCATAAGGTCCACGATGTGGCTGCATTTCTTTGATACGTCAATAATCAGTGCCAACATTGGTTGAAGACTACCCACATAACGAGTCGCGACCTGATCCCCGCTGGCCATGGCGTGGGCGACGATGATCGGCGTGGAAGGTATCTCGCCCCTCATGATGCACACGCGTACTGGCAATCCTAATAGCACACACATGGGAGGGACCACAGCGTGCCTCCACATTGCCCTAGGAATTAGGTATCCGATGGCCGCTAATGGCCCAGCATATGCGTTGGTGAGCCAGCCTCTCGCACCACACTCAGTTTTGTGTAACGGCCAATGTGCCAGCTGGCACGATGCATTCTATGCAGCCATCAAATATATTCAGTGCAGAGGACGCGCGCAACAATATGGGTGAACAGACGTACGCAATATGCTGCCCGGGAGCAGCGACTACAGAGCGACGGCGCATTCGAGCAGCCGCATGCCTTGCACACGGTTGGCTGATCCATGATGGTGGTTCGGCGCAGGTCCTGCTGTGACGCCATGGGCCGTTGACAGAGTGATCAGTCACACACACGCGGCGTTCTCCGAGACTCCGACGCGACGTCGCGGCTTCGACAGCTTCTCCGGAGCTTGCGGCCCGCGATTTCCAGATGTCATTTTCACATTTGAATATCTGAAAATTGGAGTTTGTTGACTGGGCCTGAAATGAGCAATCTCGTCCAGATCCACTCGATGTTTTCCCAGTTTGACAGAATGGTGGATATGGCAGTAGTCTAGGAGTAGAAGAAGGGAAGATTTGTCGCGCGTACGCCGTGTGGCAAGTCTCCGACAGGACGCTCGAGTCTCCGAGAGGGGCCATAAGTTTCTTTCGTGTCGACGGCGTCCTGTCGAAGCCTGTCGCAGCCTTCCGTGTCTTCAGAAGTACTCCGAAGCAGTCCCAGCCGATTCTTACTTTCGTACGAAGATGCAGAGCCCGCCATGTGCATGCAGTAAGTAGATTCGGCCGTTACCTGGCTTCCGGGCCCCCTAATTAGCATCCAAATCTTCCTAGCTCAATTCCTGAGGTTCGCGTGCAGGCTACTCCACTCGCACACGCCGATGGAATCTACGTCGTCTACGCGCATTGAGCCTGTCACATTCACTCTTATAAAGTATGTATGACGTCTCACTACGTCGCAAGGAACTATTACCGCGCTTGCGCCTCGCCTTCCACCGTCTTCAGACTCGCACGCATTCCGACGCATGAGAGGGCCGCTGACAGGAAGACATGAGAATGCCAAGAAGTGCTCTTAACAGGTATCAATGAGTACATTGTATGGGTGCATATGACTATATTTGTGGCCCGTTTACTCAGGACAGTCAAAGTCTGTGTAGAAGGTATCGGGCACGAATCTAAGCTGGCGCCTTAGCTAGTGCCCCGCACGAGCTCGTAAATCACGCACTGATTTCCCTCGAAGATCACGTAGTTCTCCGCCAGCGCCGCGTAGAAAGCCCTAAGACCTTGTTTTGCCAGGTCGCGCAGCTGGATGTAACCCGCGCCTGTGTGGTAATGACGGGATACCAACTCGTCATCCCTCGGACGGTGATGGGCAAGTTGCCAGTACTTTCCCATGGCGATCGCGTGATCGGCGCGCAGCGTCAAGTACTGAAAAAATTGCTGAAGATAAGGAGAGTCTCGGTGGTCCATGATGCTCTCATAGGCGCCGGCCATAGGGCTAACGATCGTTACGATGCCGTGAAGCATGTCCAAGACGTCCGACATTGCGTGGCTCGAGCGAGAGCGAATAACGGGGTCAAGAGCGGGGCTTTGCGAACGGGCAGGGAAGCTTCCGTATCTTGGCGCCAGTATATGCACACTGGTTAGAATGAATGAATGACCACGGTTCTGTCATAAAGACGGAGAGGGGGGTTCGTACGCGTTGACGGGCCAGCGCCCGGAAGGCGGGTTTGATGTCGCAAGGTCAGAGCCCGGCTCGTGAAACACTTTACACCCCCGAATCTTGCGAGACGTCAACTAGACACCAAATGAGCCAGGGGAGACGCTTACGTCGTATTCGTTCGCCACCGCCTCGCGAGATTGGCCAACCATCAGTCGAATGCTGCGTCGTCGCATTGACATCACGGATGGACGCCTCTATATCACTTGCACGTACAGGTGGGGGTAAATGATAGGTCGTTCAATCCTGAGACCGTCGTCATATATATCAGATGTCGTGAGAATTACCGATGAACAGGCACCACGTTCCCAGGGCGACTGGCTCTGGCGTGAGACACCGCGGTCAGGTGGTCATCGTTGCATTGGTCTTCCAGTGACTTCCCCTGCTTGGGAGGCTGATTCTCTGGACACGTCTACGCAGCGCGCTTGCGTAAACACGGATTTTGGCGCAATCCACTCGTGGAATTAGCGGGAGGCTCTGGACTACCTGAAGTTGCTGAAGTATGTTGAATACGGCGAAGGCTCTTTTCTCCCCTCGTTTGGCCCACTTGCGGCTTGGTATCCACAGGCCCTACGTTGTCTTTGTCAGTATTGGAAACGTGGTCTGGCGTCCTCCGGAGGCACTGGATTCTGCCGCACGACTCGGCGTATCCTTCCTTTCTGCTCCCCCGGACGCGCATCAACCCCCGACTACTCCTTGTCGTTAGTATCATGTCTATAACACCTACTCCGGTCGGACGCATTACCGTCTGGCTTCATTGAGTAATACTTACTTACGTGCGACGACGGGCTCCGGGAAGGGCGGACCGTATCTAGCCAAACCTGATGGGCCGGGCCGGTCCTAAGAGAGAGCAGCGCCGGAAAGCTAAAGGAAAATAGCGCGATATGTGTGACGGAGGCCGGAAAAGTGGTAAGCCCGACTACCCGGCAGGGGCGGAGAAAGTTCGAATGCTTTTGAGGGCCAGGTAGGTAAACTTGGGTCTTGGTTCGCAGCGTACTGTCCTGTTTGAAAGATGGAAAGAAAGGGGGTCAGTATTGCTTGCAGTTCGTAGAGGTATTCTTTGCAGGTTAGGCGGCCATTATATTAGCCTCGAGCCCTCTGCAATTGTGGAAGGCAAACATGTGGAGAAAGGGACGAGACGTGTAGGTCAGCATCGCATATAGCGTTGCTGAACTAGCCATTGCCAAGGCGAGGATTTTGAAAGGGAGCTCGAGAAGTGAGCGTGGACAGCGCAGACTAGACTCCGGGTGCCCGTGGCGGGGTGGATCAGAAGGAAGACACAATTGATATAGAATACATATAGGCCGGGTGCGTCATAGAATGCAAACGAAACTCTATGGGTAGAACGAATGAGAACCCGGACACAGAGCGCAAAAGCCGTAGTATCGAGGCGCGCCGCAGCTAGTGCGGGACGCGTTCCAACGGGAAGCGCTACATTAAAACGGCGAAAGCATCGTAAGAGTTCCGCCGGAGCACAGGGAAACTTCGAAACTGCAGTGACACCGAGTATCAACGGACGACGAAGGCAAATGTGGCAGTGAGGACTGCGGGCGGCATATCAGACCGAGACTGGAACCCCGGTTGAGCAGAATCCAGGAGAAGTGTCTGACGAGTTGACTGACGACGCGAACGTGGGCGGAGCAGGCGATGAGGAAGTCGGACGCGACGACCGCTGCGGGCGCACGCCCGCGCGCGGACGGCGGAGAAGGTCGAGACGTATCTCATCTTCGCGCGTTGCGCGGATACCGGCCCCGCGGATGGACATCGCACATTAGCGACTCAGAGTGAGGGACCGTCTCCGAGCATAGGTGAAGACTCATACGAGTTTGCAAGCATAATGTGATCAGGCGTGAAGTCCCCCTGTTGTGAGCGTTACCCATTGTTCGTACTAGAGTTGGGCCGCTGAACCTAGGCGCGGTCATGAAGAGCAGTGTCGTCCCCATTGTCGGAGTGCTCCTGCGCGCTGTTAAGGGGCACAACGGTAGGTACGGCAGCGACTATATGCGTCTTCGTATCGTGTCTTTCGTGCGTGGCGGGGTAAACCAGGTGCGGCAGAGCCTGAGGTTAAACATTCGCCCGACGTCGACGTTTTTGGTGTCGTCGAGCTTGTTCTATGACAGCGACAGCATCACCCAGTTAGAGGGAAGCATACACACCCAAAGATAGTGTGTTCCATAAGCGAGTACGGCGTGAGTGCAGAGCGTCTGTTAGAATAGGGCGGCCGCGGAACATGTCAGAGAGGCCTGCAAGAACGCCGCCGGCGCTCTGTCCTTATCGAGCGGAAGTCCTGACTACCAGTGTCCGCCTAGAACACAAGAAAGCCACGTACTCCCTATCTTTGACCTCCCTTTATAGGAAGGCACATACCGTAGCCGAGTCCTAGAAGATGCAATGACGGATCGTTCGTAACAGTTCTCCGCGAACGCGTGACTTGTCCCTTGAATCGTCTCGTTGACGTCGAAGTCGGAGCTCTAGGTTATCTGCTTCTCGGAAAAGCGGAGAATTCATTTTAAACGCTCGTTCCGCTCACTCACAACGACGTCCAATAAATTTGATGCCGGGCTTAACATAATCCAGTAACATTCCCGCCCACTGATCCTCAAGCTCCCATAAGCTGCTCCGAGACTCCCCCTCGTTGAAGTTGTGCACATCTCATGCAGCTCTTGTTATTATGAGCTAGGTCAAAGGTTTTAAAACGTACGCTTTGACCCACGCCATCGTATTGGCAACGGGGAATGACCGGACTCATTTTCAGCTGGGAAATCAGGATATCCCGTCCGCGCATCCCGCCGTCAGCCCCGCGTCCCCGCAGTCAAGAAATGTCATTCTCCCGCTGTTCCTTTTGCTCTCCGTGTCTCGCACAGCGAGCTCGTAAGGTCACCGCCCGCGCTCGTGTATCGTAGCGGACCGTTTCCGCACTTCCGAAGGGGTGGGAACCGCTCACAAACGAATGATCGCGTCTGCCGGGGCTCGCCGCAACTCGTCGTCAACCACCATCGTCCGGTGGTGTATATAGCGAGCTACTTCCCGTGGAGATGCTTTATGCGATCTTGTAAACAGCGACTTGATACATCCATTCTGGCTCTCTGGACATCCCGCTGTGTACTCCATATCAAGTGCCAAGCTAGGTTCTCGCTCGGTCGCTACAGTAGGTGTGAGTCAATCCAGCCCATCTTGCAGCTAGTAACATACAATCTTAACTGTATGAACGGGTGCGCGAGATCCAAGAGCTTTGGGAAGAAGACTTTCGAGTGCATCGCGAGACGCACGATCGACAGGAGGAGATCGTTGCGCCCAAATAACTGTGTAGTCAAGCATCATTTACTGATCATGTACGAGTTCAGACGATAAATTCAATACCTACGCTGTTAGGGAGATTCAAGTCAGACATATGATAGACTGCTTTGCGAGCATAGCGGGCAACGCACATCCTCTCCTTCTCCGACCGCGACAGCGCCACTGTGGGCATAATGCAGGCGGACGTGACCGGGGAACAATACAATTGTTCCTGATTCGGATTTCAAGCGAACCCCGAGGTCAGGAAGCACCATCGCTGTCCGATTGCATCCGCCGATGCTTAACAAGAGATAGAACACGCCGTAGCCGCCGCTATACTTATCGCGATGCTCCGGTGCGGCCCTTTTGCTTATAAGCGACACGGCGGCGAAAGAGAAGGCCCATTATTCGGCAACGCTCACAAACTCCGGTTCTTGGCTTATCCTCTCCTAACCACGCAGGCTGAGCTCAAACTGCTTCGGTTGTACAATGGTCAGAGCGCAGGGGAGTAGGATCGCGGAGTTCTCCATCGCGACTACCCAGGCTGATAACAGTGGCTGAGTTCGAGTAGGTTCTCGCCCGAGGGATCTTTTGAAGGTGCGATAGGTTCTTTCTTGAGCCGCTTCATCGATCAATCCGACTTCCTGTGTGCACAGATCTGAATCCTCACCTCGTGACCTTGCATCTTCCATCTAGGGCTCGCTGTGAACAGTCCAGGCTCAAACATCTCGCAGTTCTTTCGAAAATATGTCTCTTTCCTACGCCATGCAAGTGGGAGAATTGGGATCGCCAGGACGCGGGCCATTACGCTTGAGACAGGGTCGCACATTCTGAGCGAGATGAGCGATGTCAGTCTGGTACGGTTGGTCAGCTTACAAGTTGCAAGGCGTCATGGATAAAACAGTACCTGTCTTGCCTTTGTGATCGCATCCGGAAGAAAGACGTCCTGGGCGCGCCTCTGATTGTCCGCCGACGTGCACCCATCTCGCAGAGCGCCTCCGAAGTCGAGAGGCTGGAACTGTCCTCTTCTCGATCCGGATTGTCGCCGTCTCGGGTTCTTGTGACGTCGTAGTACGCCCGCGAGTCCACATCCCACTTATCTGCATGCACGCATCATCATCGATGGCATTATAACTATTGTGTCAGCCTGGCAAATTCAGCGCTTACAGTGTTTCTGCGATGCGAGCAGTCTACTAGGCGCCTGAGTTCGGGGCGTAGATGTTCATAATGCAAGGTTAGCGGGACTTGTGATTCGTCTTCACCATATTTCAGCGCATCAGACATCCTCCTAGGGGCTAGTCCGGCAGCACGGACTCTGGGAGCGATGGACGGCGTGGTTCGAAAGCACGGACATGCCAACTTCTAGAAATTCAAGCGCCCGGCGCGTTGCAGAACCGCGTGCGTTCGCGATAAGGCTCCCCCCACGAGCGGATTCTGCCGTTAGTCCTTACAGGTTCATGATCATCCCCGTCATGATGCGGGTGGTACGTAACACGCCTGAGCGTCCTGCAAATGAAGAGGCAAGTCACTAATTTTGTGCTCGGGGTGC